TTACAGTATGTTAACATATTAATATTCTGCACAGATATCTATCTGTAAAATAGCATTATATAAAAGAATGTACTCCTAATGTGCACTGCTAAAAATACACTCCATAGGTGAAATTACAGTTTCCAGATGATCTCTTGCCTTTTTCTACCAAAAACACAGGTGAATGTTGTAATGGTGAAGGTAAAATTTTCTCTCACGGCTGTGATGTAATAATGACTTATTCTTCTGGATTTTTTACTCCAGTGTAACTTTTTTTAATACCTGCTGCTAGATCTCTTGTCATTGAGATACGGAATAAAAGTCTTGCTGTACAGACTATTATATCTCTTGATAAAAAGAAGCTTTGTAAATTGCTCTGTTTTCTGTAGTGTGAGATAAAAAGTCTTTTTTCTTTCAGTTAGGTGGCATGGTTTTTATCATTTAGAATTAATGCAGTCTTGTTTTTTGGCTTGAGTTGAAAATGGGTGGTGACTTGGTGGCCTTTTATGATGGAGTTACAGCTTTAGTGGATAAAGAAAGAGGAACTGATGTCATGTACTTGGACTCATGCAAAGTGTTTGACACTGTCCTGCATGATATGCTGGCTGCCTAATTGAAGAAAAATGGATTTGATGGATAGACCACTAGCTGGAAAAGGAATTGGCTGGATGGTTGCACTGAGAAAACTGTGGTCAATAGTTCAATGTCCAAGTGAAGACAAGTAGTGTTCCTCAGGGATTGCTGCTGGGACCAGTGCTATTTAACATCTTTGTAGGCAATGTGGACAGTGGATGAACTGGGGAGGGACTTTTTGTAAGGGCACGTAGTGACAGGATGAGGGGAAATGGTTTTAAACTGGAAGCGGACAGATTAAGACTAGATATTAGGAAGAAATTCTTTACTACAGGGTAGTGAGACACTGGAACATGTTGCCCAGGAAGGTTCTGGATGCCCTCATGCTGGAGATGTTCAAGACCATTCTGGATGGGGCTTTGGGCAACCTGGTCTAGTGGGAAGTGTCCCTGACTATAGCAGGTTTATAGATGATCTTAAAGGTCCCTTCCAACCGAAACCATTCAGCTATTTTATGACAATAGATTGAGTACTAGTGGGAGCAGGCTGCCTGTTGTGGTGATGGCATGTCCTAAGAGGGACCAGTCAACTCTTTTAATCAAATCCATGAGGGTGTTTGAAGGAAAACTCCATAGCCTCATAGCAAGACAACGCAGAATCAATCCACAAAGCAGTAAAATATCACTGTATTAAAATATATGAATTCTAGGCTAGCGGTATTTGCAATAGTTAATGACCTAGTAGACCTGCATGTGAGAAAGGCTGAAATAAGTCTTTACACTGAAAACAAAGATTACCCTCTCCTAGCGCTGCCTGGCAAAGTGCATCCTTGTGGCAGCAGTAAGAAGACATGGTCTTACTAAATGTAACAACTGGAAGTGCTCTGGGCCAGTCCTTCCCACACTTGCTCCTCTTAGCCAATTTTTCTGAAGAATATGCCCATTGTTGCTTTTCAACATGTAACATTAAATTCTGCAGTCATTTATTTTGTGGCAGTATGACAATAATATGATGTTTCAGAAGCAATGAGGTGCCATTGTTCTACTGGTGAAATGAACTAGGGAGGTAGCAGGATGATTCTAAGGAAGAATTATTTATATCATAGCTTCCATTCATAAGACCGTGATGTAAGAATTTGAGTATGCAGTTCCATAGAGCAAATTAAATATTTTAAAGATAGATTATATCTATAGCATCTTACTAAAAAGAAAGGGAGAAAGAAACATCCACACCATGTGCTGGTTGAACATCTAAAGTTTTGGAAGAGATTTCTAGAGAGTCTTGCCTGAAAAGCCAAATAAACCCAAAAAACAATAATGAGAGAGGCTGCTAGCACAAGAAGGATTACAGCTATGTGATCTGATGATTTACTAAAGCTGGGAGGTGGGGAAATGAAGACTGTAGTTCACAGGCTGCTCTGGAGCAAGCTAGAGGTGTGTCTCAGGCACCACCCTCCTCATGCTGCAGGTTTGCACTTAAAGGGAGTTTTCTTTCCCTTAAGATGTAAGTGGGCTCTGTATTTCAGTACGCCATAAAAAATAATTGATGCTCATGGGAGTATTTGATAGAGACTGAAGTAACATGTGTCAGGTATATAATACTTAATAGCTGCACTCAGTTTCCCTGGAATGTTTGAAAAGAAATTCAATGGAAAGATGATTACAGAGTTACATATGTTTATGTGCATTTACTTGTTTGGGCAATAGAATGAAAGAGTAAGTTTGTTAGTAATGTTACACATCATTCACTATCATGAATAATAAGCAGAAGTAGCATCTGCATTAAGAAACATAATGTTAATTCGCATCTCTAGAGGGCAGAAGGCTTAAGAGCATTCTGTGTCTGTATAAGTAGATATGTGCACATCATTCCTCAATCTGTTGTGATCCAGCAGCTGAAAGAAAAAATAGCTAAAGGAACTGTTTGTGTCATCACAGAAACAGTACTATAATGGAGACAGGGAACTGATAACATTTTGCTGTATGATCTAAAACCAGTTCAGTGCATTCAGTGTATGTTTCCTTGTTTATTCATCTGTAAAGTCAGACAATTAACCTTGCTTTATTTTAACTCAACTGTGTTGGAACTGAATATTGCATCAGTGCCAAACTGCTGGGCACGTGGATGCAGGTAGAGTGGGTTATTTAGCATTGCTGTGATTGTTCCAGTTCCTGCTTAAAGAAGCCAGTAGAATATCATATCTGAGCCTGAAAAGGCACAATTAACTCTGGAGTGGAAATAGAAAAATGGGGAATGGGAGGCATGCAGAGAAGCAAGTTTAAAGCGTCTTGGAGGGTGACTGAAGGCCATGTCTGAGCAGACTGGGAATTTGCTGGGAGCTCCGACTCCACCTGCAGTGCAACTGGGGGTGTCTGTCTTGTTTGAGTTGTGCCAGTCCAGCGCTCCATCTTCAGTAATGGAAGTTAAGCTCACAAATCATGAGTTTTGGTGGTACTCTTTGCACTGTGTGCTGAGTAGAAGCTGGATGTAAAACAATATGCTGCAAAGTCTCTTCTCTACCCAGCAGGTGAAGATTGCAGCTGTGCTGAATTTTCTAATGGGCAATGTTTAACTTCACCTCAGAATACTTTCTGCAACATCTCTCTTATGAAGCATATGTCTTCTGATATAGAAGAAATTCTTGTTGGCATGATCTGAAGACAATCTGCAGGCTGACAGTGGCATGCTTATTAGTGTAAGGACAGTGGCTGCTAATAGATGCAAAAATAGATGTTCAGTGTGCTAATTGCCATTTGTGGTATGAAACTTATTTCAGTCTCTTAACTTCATTCTTCCTTATGCTCATTGTTACCTCTGTCTTCAGTCAGGTATTTCCTGTGGGACCGGAATGTTACGTGTGCTTTTGCTGGCAGAGTGAATGCTGCTCACCTGCACCTAAACAGCAGCTTTGTCTTAGGAAAATCACTGCTCAGCAGCTAGAGCTGTGAATGTAGCCAACAGTGCAACAGCAGAGCACCTCTTCCTGCACTTGGCTGGTGATGATGAGGCTGCGTGTATGAGGAATACATGCAATATTTGTTGTCCTTTGTGCTGGGGAGGTTTTCAAGCAAATAAGTCTTCTCATCATAGCTGCTCTGCTGAACTGGTTTGATTGAAAGGAACAATAGGAGGTCTGAAGGGAAAGAGGTGTTTTTCCCATGCTCTGTTTAGCAGGTAGTAATGACATTCTGTAGTCTATCGGCTGTTTCCTCATGGGTCCCTGGTTTACTTTCTTACAGCTGAAGCAATAGAACAGATCTGGCTGTACTAAAGTACCTTGCATGCCTTGGTAGAAAGTGTGTGGCCTTTTAATCTAACAAGTTCAAAAGAAAATTATGATGAGCCAATATAATAAATAGCTTTAAAATCTTTGTTTCTTGTGAAGCTTGGGTTGATGGGTTGGAAGGTTCTCTGAGAGCATGAGTAGTGATATATTTTAAAAGGTTGTGATTTTATAGGCTAAGAGGTCACATCAAACTTTTATTTTTTTATAAGATGTAAGTTATATTTCTTCAAATGTTACTTTCATTTTGAATTGCTGCAGCAGTTTTTCTTCTTCTTCTTTTTTTTTTTTTTTTTCTTTCCTTCCTATCCTATCTTAGGTACAATTTTAAGGCACTTAATCTAGGTTTAATGCTTTTTCCCCCTCAGATTTACTGAAGTATGTTATCAGTTTTATGCTCTCCGGGGATTTTTGCTGTTGAATGATAACAGCAATCGAAGTTGTCTCAAGGAGGTAGCGTGTTTTCCACAGCCTTGCAGCAAAACTATTTTTAACTTTAAAAAAAATCCAAAGCTCACTCAAGCTCTGCAGCCATCTCAATGTAATAGATAATTTAGTTTCAGTTACATATTTTGAACGTTATTATTACGTTATATCTGCTCTTTTCTAGAATATATTTTCTCTACAGGTGTGAATATAGATTGTTTTCTATAAAGTAGCAGTTGTAATGTGAAGCAGTGATGTTAGATCAAGGCAGGTTAAATAAAACCTATATTCAGATGTGTTGATAATTCTCAAATAATTCATTTAAATTTACGGATGTTTTCTTATTCTCTACTAAAAGTTGGTTGTATTTCTTCAGGTGACCTCGCAAATTTTATATTTCATATCACTCTAAAGAACTGTGTGAGAAATCTTAGACAGAAGGGTTTATCTAGGTTATGGTAGATTACTAGACAAGATCTGTAGTAAAGAAGATCTCATTAGTAGCATTAACATGCTCAGAAGAGCTGAAAGAGACGTTTTCATTAGCTATAGCTAAGAAAAGTAATTTTCATGCCTTTTGGAAAACTGTTGTATATATTGTTGTGCAGTATATGGAAATTTGCTGACTTATAAAGCTGCAATGAGAAACCAAGTAAAAGGAGTGCATTGATAATACATGCACCTAAAATCACTATCCATACATCTGATTTAAAACAAACAGGAAACACCTGGAACATACCGTAGGCCATAGAGGACTGTCCCATCTGGATGGAGCCGAATCATTCGGTTTTTCACTGTCACTCCATGGACAAAGGACTTCTTGTCATTTTGGAAATACGTGTCAGGCACCCAGAGCTGATCAGCTACTCTGTTGTCCAGTGTTAGGTTCAGAGGTATTCCAGAATAAGAGAGCCTTTTGTCCCTCCACGATTGCTGGAAGTACATGGTAAGGGTGTAGTCCTAGAGAGATAATAAGAAGGGTTTTTTCTATTTTGCACGTATGTTGCTTAACATAACTTTCTGTTTGGTAGCTGAATATCAGAAATGCAGCAGGAAGTTTAAGGATCGTAAAATTGCAGGGGTTGGAAGGGACCTCAAGAGATCATGAAGTCCAAACCCCTCTGCTTAAGCAGTTGCCTTTCAATAAGTTGCACAGGTAGGTGTCCAGATGAGTCTTGAATATCTCCATAGAAGGAAATTCCACAGCCTCTCTGGGCAACCTGTTCCAGTGCTCTGTCACACTTACTTTAAAGAACTTCTACCACATGTTTTTATGGAACATCCAATGTTCAAGTTTTAAGACAAGGAGCAACAGCCTATCAACACAGCACTGAGAAGTGCCTGGTCTCATTCATTAGCCTCCCACCATCCTTTAGATATTTATAAACATTAATCAGATTTTTTCCTCGGTCATCTTTTCCCCAGGCTGAACAGACTTATGTTACTCAGTCTTTCCTCATAAGGGAGGTGCTCCAGGCCCTTTATCATCGTTGTGGCCCTTCACTGGACTCCTTCTAGGAGATCCCTGTCTTTTTTGAACTGGGGAGCCCAGAACTGAACACAGTATGTTGTTGTTATCCATTACAATGAGTCTTAGCTTGTTTGTGTTAGTGTCTAATTCACACTGTTTGCCAGTGGCAGTGATTTGCCCACACATCCCTGGCCATGGGCTTTCAAAGCCTCTTGTGCCAGAGGGTCTCCAGTGTACAGGTCACAAGATCTCCAGCCTACGGGCCACATTCACAGTCTCTTGCAAGGCTTCCTTTTACATGAAAACAGTGGAATTCAGCCAATCTCAATCAAATAGCATTGCATACTGTTGAGGATACCTTAGTGTATTCAATGTCTTCATTCTGAAATATTCTACGTGCAATCCAGTAACACCAACACTCCCTAAACCTTCTGAGAATGAGCAAATAGAACTGCAGAATGTATCATGAATAACTTGTCATTCTGCAATGGCTGCAGTTGCCAGTTGTAAACATCTTCAAGAGCTGGACAAATTTCCCTTCAGCCCAGGCACTGAGGGGCTTTCTGTCCTCGGCAATCAGACGTTGCCCCATAGGAAATGAGCATCTTCTCCTGATACTGTGCTGTAGTTTAGAGGAAATGCAATTTATGTAGTCCTTCAGCTTTCCACTTGATTTCAAAATAAATTGTTTTTAAAAGTTTTTCGTCTTACTCCCTCATTGTCTTTCTCATTATGAATTTCAGTGGTTTTTAAAGGATGGCTTTTCCACTTGGAAAAATTGACTGTTCTTTATATCTGATGTAGTTCTTACATAATGCTGTTCCAGCAATTTTTTAGACTACCAGTTTTATCCTCCTTATCTTCCTTCTCCCCTGTCCCCCTTTTTAATTTGCAAGTCATTTTTTGTCACATACTTAGCATTAAAAGTGAAGTGACATTATAGATATAGAAAAGATTGGTTGGGTAAGATTTTCTTTTATGTAAGGGAAAGCCTCACCTCTGTCAACCTGACCTAGCCTGGACTGTAATTTTTGAAGAAATAGAGAGGATAAAAGCTGTCTGATGTGAATTCCTCTTCTCATCTTTATTGGCTTCCAAAGAACATGTGAAAATCAAAGCACTATTGTTACCTTTCAAAAAGCCTTTCTGCCTGAAATACCGCATCTCACAGAGATATGAACTACATAGGTCTATCAGGGTTTGCCTCAGATTAATTTAAGCTCTGAAGGAGCGTCTGGCTGAACTGTGACCGTGCTTGGCCCAATGTAAAGAAACTTGACACTGAAAGACTTCGGTCCGCTGTTGGCTACACAGGCACCTTCCTGTAGAAGTTGCCCTCTGCTTCCCTTACACAAACAGATAGAGAGCAGACGGGAGCTGGATGAAGGGGTAAAAAAAAATCAACGTTTTTGTACAGTTTTCACATGTTGTCTGCGTTCTATCCTATACTGTTACAATTTTTACATAGAAAAAGTATCATAAATAGCTGAGGCAAGTTTAGTTCTTAAAGCTCAGATCTTTGCTTCGTATCTTCTGTCTTCCGTGTAATTCAGCAAAGCCAACTACATGCAGTTTTTATCTTTCCTTTATATTTTCTATAGATCTTAAAGCTGCTTTTGTATAACTGTCACGTCATCAAGGGAAAAAGGGAAAAAAGCTAACAATTGAGAATTTTGTGTGATGTTTCTTAAAGCTCAATCAGAGAGAAAAATAGCCAAGATAGGCTACAAGATATCTTAAGGATGTAATCAGACAAAAAAAAAAAAAAAAAATCTGTCTCTTGGTTGTAGCTAGCAGAATGAAATAAATTACTATATTTAGCATCTTGGTCTGTCTCAATTTTTATTTCATCCAGTTGTGCTGTTGTGCTTTATACAGAATGCTGCTGTTGGTGGCACTAGAGCAGAGATGATGAACCAATGACCTAAAGTTGTGCTGTACTATGCAGAAATATGTGGCACGTCAACAAATATTAAAGAGGAGAGAACCTGAGCTTCGTCATAAAAGTATCTCCAGATTTCTTACATCACAGAGTTGTATTTTCTTTCTAATTCCCTGAATCTGGGAGTTCTTCATTTGGTATTTTAGTGAAGAAAATGAGTTGCATGTTGTGATTTTTGAGTGTCCCTGTCATTGTAAGTTTTCATTTTAAAAAGAGAAATTAAAGGTTATTTCAGTGACAAATTATATCTGAAGTGTAATAATCCAAATTACATAATTCTTTTTTTTTTTTTTTAATTGTGCTTGTAGTTGTTCTTTGTTTTTAGAATACAGCCTTATTTTTCTCCTATTTCATCAGAGGAGAAGGAAATGCCAGCAGACCATGTACCTAGCTTCATCTTGGGATGTGTTCTAGAATAATTATTTTCTACATTTTGTAGTGGTATATGTGAGGTGAGATTTTAATGACTAATCATCTTCTACCCTGTAAAATTTGCTGGAGGTTTTTTGGCTTCAAGCTTTAGGTGTATGAATGGTATCTGAAGCTTTCATATTTATAGTGGTGGTTGGCTGCAGAATTTTTTTTTTTAAGATGATGACAAAATCTCAATAAACGAGTTCATCTTGTCTTTACTACTGATTTCATTTTTAAAATGTAAATATTATTAGACTTCAAGTGACCTGGTTGCTGAGCTAATTTCTGTAACATAATACTGATAGAAACATGAGAGATTTTTCATTATCCTGGCTTCTGTGATGCATTTTAAGGTGTAGGAGGTTAAAAGGAATACCGACATGCCAGTCTCAGCTAAGTGAGAGACTTTGTGAAAATGTGAATAAGACAAATTAATGCATTTTCCTCAAAATGACAAATTGTTTCTTAATCTGAGTTTAATCAACCTCATAAATAATCACTGGCACCAAACTTCACTTAGGTAATATAAAATTCTTATAGGAGAACATGTGATTGTTGCTTTCTGTAACTGAAGTTAGAAAGTGGTTTGTAGTTCCAGTAAATAATAGACTGGGGAGGTCTCATACCAAACTGTCTTTTTTGTTTTTGTATTTTTGTTTTGTTATATATTTGAATAATTTTGTAATGCAACATGTATACATGATATAAGTGCAATAATGGAATTTTTCTTTCATGATAAGCTTCTGCATCTCTTTGAAACCAGTAGAGGTGCATTAAACTGCAGAAGTAATTTCTACTGTGTGGTTTACCAGTTCAGCACAACAGAATATGTGAAATAAATTGCTATATTATAATCAAACTTTCTGGGAGGCACTCTGGTATTGCCCTGCTTATCTGATAATTTATGGATTACATATATAATGGGATATATAAGTGGAATATAAAAGCAGTAAAAATGTCTGCTATATTTTCAAAGACTCCAGACATGCCTTTTTTAAGAGCAAAATAAAAGGGATCTTGTAATTTGCCACATTCAGCACTATGATCTACAAGAATTTCTATTTTCTCTCTTTCCAAAATCATCCTAACTTAAGTTCTGCTGTTGTTTCATATGTTTAAGTAGGAAGCTAAAAAGAGAGAGGAAAAAAGAAAAAAAGAATATTTTGCAATTATGTAACCACTGTAGATCAATATCAACTGTTAGAACTCCAGATGAGTTTGAGAATAGCAAAGCAAAAAACACACCAATATTATACTTTTAATAGATATAAGTGTGTATTAATAGTGATGGGATATATACTGATCTTAAACGTAAATGAAATCATTAGGAATCACCCAATAACCAAATGACTTGCAGCACCACTGAAAATAAGATGCAATTCAAATACAGTATAACTTAATCAAGAGAAACATAACTGAAATTACAATTTAAAATTAAATCTGGAGTGATTATCAGAATACTGACTGAAATAATGCAATGCGTGTAGAATACCACATGTGTAAATCCTGCAGGAATTCCAAGATGTGATTAATTGGAGAAGGTTACTGTCTGGGCTTATTGGATACAGAGGAAAAAGGGAAAGGTAGAGTTTCAAAACTATGGTGAAGTACTTGCAGCTTGGAAAAGGCATGCTCTTTTATATGTTGTAAGGATGCTAGTGCCACATAGGAAAATGTTTGCACTTCTTCAGTAAAGCTCTCCTCTGATTCATCTTGGAGAACCTACAGAAGGTTCATGCTCTCACCTGCAAAAGATCTATTTTAAGACAATGCAATATAAGTGGTGATTTTTTTTTCAGTCCTGTGTAAAAATTTTGATCAATTTCAGATATTGCATGACAATTAGGGGAAAATATTCTTCCTCCAAATTATGGAGGAAGGAAGTAGAAATTCTACTACTACTGTTCTCTAGAAACTCCAGCTTAGCTGTATATTTTTATTAAGTCAGCTGACCAGTGAGATATGGATATGCACTCTAATGATTGACTGACTGCATTTACTTTTTTTTCTAAGGACATGATTTAGTTTTCCTTCATTTGTTTTCAAGTGCACACTGATGCAGCATGTGTTATTTGGTTCCCCTTCTCAGCTCAAGATAGTGAGAAGAGAGGGAAGAAGGTTGAAAATATTCTT